TGATGATAGAAGGAAACTAGACATAGCCACCATTTCACAGTGTATATACAAATGTTGAATCATTATGCTACATACCCAAAAGTAATATTATATGTCAATTATGCCTTAATTTTAGAAAACATGGGAAAAAATGAGACACTAACACTGCTGACTTGAAACTGTGTGCTTCTAATTATGGTAGAGTTGTGTTGGGTACCATCATTTCATCTGGATAATACCAAATATCAGTATCTGTATCATATTTTTGGATGTTGTATAGTTTACACAGAAAGGAAACATTCAAACCCCATCAAAATGAGTACTATATAGTAGCAAATGGAAAAGATAAATGGAGAATAAAAACTCAGATGATGATGTGAGTAGCCATCATGGTAGGGGAGGGTCTGGATGGAGGCTGGGGCTCCAACATAAATACTATGGAGCCCATGGAGTCCAAAATATATAATCAAAGAAGAAAACGGTTATAAATGAATCAGAAGTTGTTGAATGGTCTCAATCATTATTCATAACATTTTTCTGATACATCTAATCTTCCTTGGACCAGTCATAGGCACAATAATATTTACTGGGAGGTGGAAGATTCATTTTTGACAAAAGTTCAAAGGCAATTCAATAAAGAAAGAATAACCTTTGCAACAAGTGGTGTTGGAACAATTGGACATTCAAATGCAAAAAAATGAACTTCAACCTGTAACCGCACAGATTACACAAAAATTATTTCAAAATGAATCATAGACACAAAATGTTAAACAAAAAACTCTGAGAAGGGAATACAGGAAAAAATCTTCATGACCTTGGGTTAGGCAAAGAGTTCTTAGATAAAAGTACTATCTATAAGGTAAGCTGACAAAATGGGAGTACATGAAAAATTAAATACCTTTGCTCTATAAACAACAGTTAAGATAATAAAAAGACAAACTGGATTGGACAAAATATATTTATAAATCATACATCTAACCAAGAGCTTATATCTAGAATATATAATAAACTCTTCAAAACTCAACAGTATGAGAACAAACAGCCCAATACATAAATGCTTCGCAAGATATGTGGATGTTAAATAATCGCTTAAAAAAGTGGTGAACGTATTAGCCACTAGGAAAATGCAAATTAAAAACACAGTGAGGTATTATCAGACACCTATTAGAGTACCTGAAAACAAAACAAACTGACAATACCAAGTATAGACAACAGTGTAACAACTGGAACTTTCACACTATGTTGGGAATGCAAATTAGTACAGTTCCTTTGGAAAATAGTCTGGCAATTTCTCCTAAAGTTAAAAACATATAGTTACCATATGACACCACATCTACTCTTACGTATTTACCTGAAGAAATGAAAATGTCCGCACAAAAGTGAGAGCAGTGCCTCTATTCATGATTGCCAAAACCTGGAAACAACCAAACTGGCATCATCTGGTGAATAGACAAACGGATTGTGGTTCACCCATAAGGAATACTTCTCAACTTTATATATATATATATGTATTCAACAACAGCATTTATCATAACCTCAAGAATTATGACATGCTTAAGGATAAGTTTAACAAAATACGAGGAAGACTGAGTATTATACAACATTGCTAAGAGAAATTAAAGACCTAAATAAAAAGAAACATGTTCATGAATTGGTGGACTCAACAGTGTTAAGATGTGAGTTATCTCCCTATTGATCTGTAGATTTAATACAATCCACATTATAATCCCCCAAAACATTTTCCCCCATAGCAACTGACAAACTGATTTTAAAATACGTAATTGAAAAAGACTTTCAACAAAGCAGTAGCAGTTTTGAAATGTGCAGTAATCAACACTCTTTGGTATTGTTAGAATGATAGACACATGGTACAATGGTATAGAAGAATATTCTGAAATAAATATTACATAGTCTACTAATTTTCAAAAGGCAACTCAATGGGAGAGAGAATTCAAGAATTCAAAACTCATACTGTTGAGTTTTGTCCTAGAACAAATGTGTATGATTGTCCCTTAACAGCTTTATTCATTGCATACACTGTGACAGTAAGCTTTTAATTAATTGATTTTTTTTTTAAGATTTTGTTTATTTGTCAGAGAGAGAGAGAGAACACAAGCAGGCAGAGTGGCAGACAGAGGCAGAGAGAAAAGCAGGCTCCCTGCTGAGCAAGGAGCCATATGCGGGTTTCAATCCCACAACCCTGGGATCATGACCTGAGCTGAAGGTAGCCACTTACCTGACTGAGCCACCCAGGCATCCCAACTTTGTTATTTTTAAAATTTATGTTCCAGGGACACCTGGGTGGCTCAGTTAGTTAAGTGTCTGCCTTCGGCTCAGGCAGTGATCCCAGAGTCCTAGGATCAAGCCCCACGTCAGGCTCCCTACTCAGTGTGGAGTCTGCTTCTCCCTCTGCCCCTCCCCCCACTCATGCTCGTGAGCTCTCTCTCTCAAAATAAATAAACAAAAATTTTTTTAAAATTAATGTTCCAATTACAGTTCTGGCCTCATATCAAAATTTGTGATACACAGGCATTTCATTATCTTCTCTGAGTAGAACGTTATTTCATAATGTTTGGTTTTCTCTTTAATCCTAAACTTATGGATACACGTGATCACTTCCCAAATTGAGATATTAAACATATCACTATTCAGATGATTAATTGCAAAAGAAGCTATACAATGGAAAGTTCCAGCGGTGACGACCCTACCAAAGCTTCAATACTTAGTATTACTAATTATGGGAAACACCGATGTGTTTACAAAAAATGCAGAATTACCTTGGAAGTGTTCTTCAGAACCCAACGAAATGTGTAACTTCCAATTTGGAAAAAAATCTGGGTGGAGAGACAAGTTAGGTGACAGTGTGAGGAAACAAAGAAAATGTGAGGCATTCTCTAATACAACTTCCTTGGACTTTTCCCAAAAAATCATGTAAAAAAGGTGGGACTCTAGGGTAAAAGGCTAACATTTAGGAGTAAAGTCAACAACTTCCTCTTACATGTAGAAATAAACATGTACACATGGAAAGAAAAGAATATAGAGATGGGGTGCCTGGGTGGCTCGGTGGGTTGGGTCCTTTGCCTTCAGCTCAGGTCATGATCCAGGGTCCTGGGATCGAGACCCGAGTCAGGCTCTCTGCTCGGCTGGGAGCCTGCTTCCTCCTCTCTCTCTGCCTACTTGTGATCTTTCTCTCTGTCAAATAAATAAATAAAATCTTTAAAAATATATAGAGATAAAATAAATAAGGCAAAATGTTACCAAAGATGGTGGCATTTTTGCTATTCTTTCAACTTTTCTCTATGTTGAAATTTCTATGAAAAAAAAAGTTAGAAAAGAAATTTCCAAGGGGACGTTTTTCTGTCCCATTATTAATTTTGAACCTATGCTGAGTTTTGGATAAAGAATGTAGATTATATAGGTTATTCTCAACAACTTTACACACATTAAAATCCTGGGTATCTTTCAAGAATTGTTTGATTCAACTTAAGGGATAAGTTATAAATGAATATCCTCTCGTGTTTCTTTTTTTCTATGAAGTTTTATCCAGAAAGAGTTATCCAAAATTGTACAATGGATATATAAATATAAGGGCATTTCTAAATTAACTACTCCTGCAGGGTCTTACATTCAAAATTTCATTAGCAGTTTTAAAAAAATGCTAATAATAAATAATGAGCATAGATTTTTACAATCACCACCATCTTAAAGCAATGCCCTGAAATAAAAAGTAAGGGGCCTACTGCCAAACAGGTTGAAGGTGGTGGCATGACAATGATGAGAATTGACATCTGTGCTATGGCAGGCTTTCCAATATATAGTTAACTGTTCTTAAGAAATCAGGATGAGGGGTGCCTGGGTGGCTCAGTGGGTTAAAGCCTCTGCCTTCGGCTCAGGTCATGATCCCAGGGTCCTGGGATCGAGCCCCGCATCGGGCTCTCTGCTCAGCGGGGAGCCTGCTTCCCCCTCTCTCTCTGCCTGCCTCTCTGCCTACTTGTGATCTCTCTCTGTCAAATAAATAAATAAAATCTTTAAAAAAAAAAAAAAAGAAATCAGGATGAATTTCATGTTCAGCAGTGATTTAAGAGTAACTGGAAGGTTTTTTATTCACTTGTTCATTCAGCCATATCAGGAAATGTCATATAAAATTTCATGCTATCCATGCTGTATTGATGTTTCCCACCTTTTCTGAATTGGCCATAATCCAGAGTATTTGGATTCAGATATCATATACACAAGAATGACAAATAAAGGCTTTCTTATGTTTTCTAAATTCCATTATGAATTCTCTAATGGGAGATATTTTCTAAAGGCCTACCAAGATTTTTAACATCCATGTTTCTCATTAGCATAATGCATTCTCTAATGCTGAACAATGTTTAAGCCATATATAATGGACTTTCCAAATTCTTTAAATTCTTAGGGTTTTACATGCATATGATTTCTCTGATGTACTTTAAGGGCTGACTATATCTAAAGGTCTTTCCACATTTTTTACGTTTAAAGGGTTTCTCACTGGTGTGTATCTTCTGATGTTCACTAAGGAACGGATTAAGTCTAAAGATCTTGCCACATTCCTTACATTCAAAGGGTTTCTCACCAGTATGAACACTCTGATGTCCAATAAGTTGTCCATACATTGGAAAGGCCTTTCCACATTCCTTACATTCATAAGGTTTCTCACCAGTATGAATCCTCTGATGCTGAACTAGGTAAAAGCCAGAACTAAAGGCCTTACCACACTCCTTACACTCATAGGGTTTCTCACCAGTATGAATTCTTCCACGTTGTACAAGGTATGAGGCACAATTGAAAGTTTTTCCACATTCCTCACATTTATAGGGTTTCATGTCAATGTTGTTGTGTTCTGTTCTGTTGTGTGAGATGTACATGTACTCTAAAGGCCATCCCACATTCCTTACATTCATAGGACTTCTCACCACTATGAACCCTTTGAGGTACAGTAAGTTGATGGCAACTAATAATAGCCCTTCCACATTCCTTACACTCAAAGTGTTTCTCACCAGTATGAATCCTCTGGTGTTGACAAGGTACGAGCCTGAACTAAAGGCCTTGCCACACTCCTTACACTCAGCGGGTTTCTCACCTATATGAAGTCTTTCATGTTGAACAAGGTATGAGGCATGACTAAAGGTCTTCCCACATTTCTTGCATTCGTAAGGCTTTACCCCTGCATGAATTCTCTGATGTACATTAAGAAATGAACTAAGTCTAAGTCCTTCCCACATTCCTTACATTCAAAAGGTTTCTCATCGGTATGAATCCTCTGATGTCGAGTAAGTTGTCGATACACAGTAAAGGCCTTCCTACATTCCTTGCATTCATAGGGTTTCTCACCAGTATGAATCCTCTGATGTCTAACCAGGGGTGAGTTACTACTGAAGGCCTTCCCACATTCTTTCCATGTATAGGGTTTTTCACCAGTGTGAATTCACTCATGTTGAACAAGGTATGAGAAGGTACTGAAGGCCTTCCCACATTCTTTACATACAAAAGGTTTTTTCTCCAGTATGAAGATTCTGATGCTGATGAAGCTTTCCACACACTATAAAAGCTTTCCCACATTCCTTACATGCATAAGGTTTCTCACCTTTATGGATTCTTTGATGCTGAACAAGGTATGAGCTACTAATAAAAGCTTTTTCACATTCCCCACATTTGTATGGTTACATACCACTATGAGTACTCTGATGTATAGTAAATTGACAGCTACTACCAAAGGTCTTCCCACATTCCTTACATTCATATGATTTCTCACCACTATGAATTCTCCCATGTTTAATAAAGGCTAAGCCTCTAATAAAAGCCTTCCCACTATCTTCACATTCATAGAGTTTCTCAACGGTGTGAATTCTCTGACGTTGAACAAGGTATGAAAAGGTGGTAAAGGTCTTCCCACAATCCTTACATTTATAAGGTTTCTCACCGATATGAAATCTCTGATGTATGATGAGTTGATGTCCATTACTAAAGTTCTTCCTGCATTCTTTACATTTGCAAGGTTTTTCACTAGAATGTGTTCTCTCACGTTGAACAGAGTTTGAGCCTTGACAAAAAGTCTTCCCACATTCCTGACATTAACATGAGTGCTCTCTATTAAGCATTCTCTGATGCAGAGCAAAAGATGGACACTTCTCAATGGTGAGCATTTCTTTAGAGCTGACTGTGTCCTCCTTCAGCTGAAAATCTGAAGGAAAAAACACACACAAAAAAAATCCAAATATTTTGTTTTCCTATATGAAAAAAATGTAGGAATATAGATTCCTATGGAAGAAAAGGTACACACTGAAAATATCTATTAGAAATAAACAACCTAGGGGGCACCTGGGTGGCTCAGTGGGTTAAAGCCTCTGCCTTCAGCTCAGGTCATGATCCCAGGGTCCTGGGATCGAGCCCCTCATTGGGCTCTCTGCTCGGCAGGGAGCCTGCTTCCTCCTCTCTCTCTGCCTGCCTCTCTGTCTACTTGTGATCTCTGTGAAATAAATAAATAAAATCTTTAAAAAAAAAGAAATAAACAACCTAGTACTGTTAAAAAAAAAAAAACCCAAAACAGGTCAAAGAGAAATGCAAAGATTAATGAGAGTTTATTTAAATACTAAGGTTGGTGACAGAATAGGTTTCACTTCTGATGCATGGATCAGAATCTTTGAAGAGCTCTTTGAGAAACTGGTATTCCAGCACCATTCAGACCTCCCAAATCAGAATACACGAGGCAAGTTCCTCGGCACTGATATGTTTAACATTTCTTATGAATGGTTCTGAAACAGATGAAATTTCATTTCCCCCATTGTGGCTTCTGTTTACACTTCAAATAAAATCCATGTATCTTTCATTAATATGGTCCCTGCTTACCTATCAGACCTCATATTAAGTCATAATTTTCTTTGTTCCTTATTTACCTCACTGTCCCATTTCAGCAATTGGAATGTGTCAGAAATTTTCTCATCTTTTGGTTCCATCTGCAGGTGATGCCATCTCCCCAAAATTCTTTGGCATGTGTTGTTTGCAGACGGGATCTTTCTCATCCTATATACATTTACGATAAAGTGTCACTTTATCAGGAGTACTGTAAATTGCTTGCCTGAGGATGTTCATGTCTTTATCTTCTGTTCTAACCCTTAATTCTTATAATTCCTACCTGTTCTCAATTACACAATTATCTCTCTTTGTCAAAAAGTTTAACTTATGTCTCCCAAACCTACCTGCGGTAGATATTTTGGCCTTCATGACCTTTGCCTACATCACAGCTGTAAATATGTTGCATCAAATGCCAAAAGATATGTAATTAAGGTTACAAATTAGTTGATTTAAGATGGAGACATTAACCTGGCTTATCCGTGTAGGCTTGCATTACATTCTAGATTACAAAGTGGTATGTGGTGTACTATCTTACTAATATTGTTTATGGTAAAAAAAAAAAAGACCACTGAGAGACAAATTGCATACAGACTGAGAAAATAGGAAAACCCGTTGGAAGGCCAATTCTGTAGTGCACTGGGGGTTATGGTAGTCTGGATTAGAATGTTAGTGGTGGAAAGTGGTGAGAAGGTATAGCACTCATAACATATTTTGAACACAGAAGTAACAACATGCTGGTGTTCCTGCTTTGTAGTATTTTTTGAGTAGTTAAAGCCAAGATCACAAAAGGTAGTCTTAGTCTGAATGTTCATTTGAGCCTAAGATGACCCTCTCATAGGCACTGGTTATGAGAATAATGTCCTTATTCTTAGGATATTCTTAAGTATTAGGGATGAAATGTTATAATTTATGCAATTTACTTAAATGGTAACAGCAAAACTTTTTTATATAGATACAGAACAAAGTAACAAAATATTGAAAATTGGTGAATCTATGTGATGGTTTTAAGGATTGCTATATTACTCTTTCAACTTTTTGTGGATTTTAATTCAGCTGGCAAAATAAAAAACCAAAACAAACTACCAGACTTGCCAAGACTACCAGAAACCACCAGAAGCTACAAAGAGGCAAAAAAGAATCCTCCCCCGGAACCTTCAGAGACAGCTTGCCCTTGACTTCTTGATTTCAAACTTCTGGTTTTGAGAATTGTGAGGCAGTAGATTTCTGTTGTCTTATGCCACAAAGTTTGTAGTAATTTGTTATAGAACTAATTTACAAATTTGTGGCAATTTATTATGGCAAAAACTAATACACAAAGATAAATATATAATACAGAAAAGAGCTATGAAATACGTGTTAAAGATTTTTTTTCTTCAGGTAATTTCCATTTCTGAAGATCAATTCTAACCAAATACTGAATTATTATAGGAATAGAGAGTTAGTGTCAATATAAAAAAAAATAAGTGGGGGCCCACCAAAATATGTGACACAGAATTGAAACTAAATAAAAATTTTAAAGGCAAATGATTACAGACTCTGAAAAAATTATGAATTTTAAACACAAACGTTTTCCGTTCTTTTCTTTTTTATTTTAAATTTTTACTTAGTTAACATATAATGCAATATTGGTTTCTGGAGTAGAATTCAGTCATTTGTCACTTACATACAACAACCAGTGCTCATCACAAGTGCCCTCCTTGATACCCATCACCTGTCTAGTCCATTCCCCAACTACCTCCTTCCATCAACCCTGTTTGTTCTCTATCTTTAGGAACCTTTCATGGTTTGTTTTCCTCTCTCCTTTTTTCCCCCCTTCCCGTCAAATGTGAACATTTTCTATTAGAACTTTTATCAACTTTTTTAAAAAGAAGCTGAATTTCTTCTGTTTGCTTTTTAAATGAAAAAGAATTAGTTCATCCTCCTAACTATATGATTTTCAACCATAGAACTGTATTTGAAATGTTGCAAAAGACCTTCATTTTATCAAAAAGATACGATCTTTTTCTTCACTTCTAAGACACTGCACTTTGTTCTAGGACATTCCTCCTTCCCAGCCACTCATGGGCCATCTCTCCTCAGCAGACTCCAGCGTCTACATCTCTTGCCCTCACTTACATCTCCATATCCTACTAGAGAATTTAAGTTGTTTTTATTAAGTTGTGAATGCCACTTAGTTACATATTCTAGCTCACATATTAAGACTAAATATCATTGTAAGTTTTAAGTAAAAAAGAACACAGAGGCTACCATGAAGAGGCTCCCATTTGCCAAATATGAGACAATTTGAATATCAAAATGATAGAAGATTACAACCAAATGAATACAGTAAGAATGCCTGGATTCACACTGTATTAACAAATGAAATATTGTTCAAATTGAAGAATAATATGCAAAGGACATGTACTTATCAAAAATGCCAAGGTCATAGGCAAGGAGAGACCAAGAAGTTTTTTCAAATTAAAGATTAAAGTAAGAAGTCTATTAAGTGAAATTCATGATTTTTGTCTTGGCTACTGGGTTGAATTTTATTTTTTTCTATAAAGGATACCATTGAGGAGGCGCCTCCATGGCTCAGTCAGTTAAGCATCTGACTCTTGCTTTGGCTCAGGTCATGATCTCAGGGTTGTGAGACTGAGCCCCGAGTTGGGCTCTGCACTCAGCAAGGAGTCAGTTTGGGATTCTCTCTCACTCCGTCTCCTGCTGCCCCCCCCCCCTGCTCATGGGCTCACTCGCACTCTCTCACTCTCTAAAATAAAATAAAATAAAATAAAGAAAAAAAGAAATACACAGTGAAACATTTAGGGTAAAGGTGAAGTCATTTCAAGGGAAAGAGACAGAATGAGAATTATAAAAAGCAAATATATAAAGTTTTAACAGTCTCTGGGTAAAGGGCACATGTACGTTCTGTGTTATTCTTACAAATTTTCTGGTTAGGAATTATTTCAAAATAAATAGTTTTATAAAACCATCAATTAAGAACCTTGTACATATTTGTTTACAATCTCAGCTAAAGGAATATATAAATGCAGAATGGCACGGTGATTTTTAAAGATAAGCCAGATTCTGTCTAAATTCTAGTCCTAACTAGCTCCCTAATTAGGAAAATTTCTTAATCATCCCAAGTCTTAGTTCCCTCAGATATAAAATACTGATAGCAATCTGAAAAACATCTCACAATGTTGCTGTGAGAATAAAGGCAATATGTGTAAAATGCTGGGTCAGGCATAGAATATAGAATCAATAAAGTAACTGCTATTATCACCACCACTGCCGGCTGCATAAGAGACAGTGGTCAGAAAGGGAGTAAGTCAGTAAAGCATGAGTAAACTCAACAACAAAGATTTCACACCTCCCCTCACTAATTTTCAGGTAATAATTTTTCTTCTTATAGCTCTGAGAAAACACAAGATAAAAGATACATATTCGTTCCTCTACTATATCAATTAAGTTATCTACATCCATATCCATTGTCAACATTTTTTCATATGCACACGATTCCACCGTCTTACCCACCCAGCTCAAGGCCACAGCTTCCACAATAATGTCCTCCTCATTCATCCATGTTTACCACTGTGGAACCATTCCCAACATCAATCATGCAGGTGTAACCCCATGTCCCAACCAAGCCCATCTCTTCATAGGCAATTCGTCTACAGAACTGTGGTACTCACTCTCATCACTGCCTCACCTCATTCTGCTTAAACCTCTCCTGTCAGGCTTTCACTCCTTGATGCCACTGAGGATTTCCCCTTCTGGGAAGGCCAACTAGTGAGGCCAATGCTCATTTCTTGCTTTAACTGATGGTTCAGTGGTCATTCGTCCACCTTGAAACATTGTCTTCATTTGTCTTTGGTGGTACCACTTTCCTGGGTTTTTTTGTGTTTTTTTGTTTGTTTCATTTTGTTTTTTAAGATTTTATTTACTTATTTTACAGAGAGAGAGGCGGGGGGGGGGGGACACAAGCACAGGGAGTGGGAGAGGGAGAAGGAGAAGCAGGCTCCCTTCTGGGCAGGGAGCCTGATGTGAAGCTCGATCCCAGGACCCCGGGATCATGACCTAAGCCAAAGGCAGACACTTAACCACTGAGCCATCCAGGTGCCCCCCACTTTCCTGTTTTAATTCTGCCTTAAAATGTGCTTTTTCTCAACAGTCTCTTTTGTAGCTTCTCTATTAGATGAACTGTGAGACTCCTCTATCTGCACTGGCCCTTTGGGAAACCTCATGTACTCCCCTGGCTTAAAATGCCAGCCATATGCCAATAAAACCCAATGGCTGTGTGAGCCTATACTCTCCCTGAGCTCAGGCTTGCATATTCAACAGCCTAGTCAGCATTTCTAATTGGATGATTAACAGCCATCTCAAGCTTCACATAATCAGAGCACACATCTTTAGATTTGCTCCCCATCCTGCCTCTTTTCTCTCTTTCCCATCTTAGACAGCTGTGTCACTATTCACCTGCTAGGGTCAAAACCTGCTCATCCTTTTCCATGTCCCTCTGCCACCGCCCCCATTTATAAATCACCAGCATATTGTTGTTCTATGTTCAAAATACATTATGAGTGCCATACCCTCTTACCACTTTCCACCACTAGCATTCTAACCCAAACCACCGTCACTCCCTGTCTGCACAACAGAACTGGCCTCCTGACAGCTTTTCCTGTTCTTACCCTTGTCCCCGTTCAGTCCACCCTCTATGCCTCTGTGCAGGAGAAAGCAGAGGGGAGCAATGGAGGGAATCTGCAGACCTGAGGACTTCAAAATAACCAGCAGATATTCATCCAAAAGGTTAGCAGGCTAATCAGAGGAGAGGTAGTGAAACCAATAGTGAGGTTTGCGGTGCTTGGTAAGGTCTGATGTTGCTGGAAGTGATCTATCAGGGAGGGAGGACAGCGGGTTGTGATTAGGTAGAGGCAGGTAAAAAGCTTAAGGGTAGTTGGAGAAGTTTTATCTCCTCATTTGGAGAATCTGGGTGAAGAGAATATGAAAATTCTTTGTATGATTCTGTAACTTCTCCATAAACCTGAAATTATTTTATATTTAATTTATTTTTATTGTTTTTTTTTAAAGATTTTATTTTTAAGTAATCTCTACACCCAACATGGGGCTTGAACTCAGCCCCGAGATCAAGAGTTGCTCACTCTACTGAATGAGCCAGACAGGTGCCCCTGAAATTATTATTTTTTGCTCAGGGTACTGTTTTAAGGGTATCTGCCTTATAATAACTCATTAAGCTATAT